AGTAAAACTGGTAAAAATCATTCAGTGGACCTAGTTTTCAATTATTTTAGATACGCTTCATAGTATTCTGTCCATATTCCAAAACAGTATCATATTTAATCTTACGTGAAAGCCTTACAAACATACACTAAATGCTAATATTTACTCTACATAACGAAAGGAACAAACAGGACATTAGTAACTAGTCTATGGTGTCTTTCTCCAAACAAGGTTGTTTCCCACTTTCAACAGATGTGATAACTGCAGGTTTAAACAGGCACATCCCCTTTCCAAGTCACAGGACAAGCACACAATCCTAAACTGGTCCAACACTGTACAAGGCAAGTCAGATGAATATCTATATTCTTAGTTCCAGCAGTTTCCTATACAGGCAATGAAGACTATAAGGAGTTTATTCTGTTTTGATAGTGGCTTAAATACCTGTGTGTCACTAACTCCACTCAGAACAAAAGAGAAACACCAGTTAGCCACTTGCCGTAAAAGAGAAACAAAGGAACAAAAGACTATTTTCTCTCATTTTAAGTTCCTCTTAATAAAGCATAGAATTTTAAAAATAATTCTCATATTACTCGATCAAGGCATAAACTAACTAGAGTAACTGAGGGATGGGACTGGAAATTCCAAGTGACACAAAAAACGTAACAGCATTTTGGAATAATATTTTTCAGGAAATAAACATTTGCATGACAAGTTAGATTCAAAAGTTCAAAAAGATGTACCATCCCATACTAATGTTCTCTTTGAATAGACCTCTGCAGCAATTAAAGCAAATAAACAAGCAACTTTCATCCACCCTTCACTTTCTTAAATAATTAAAAATCTAAATACAATTTAAAATCATGTTGGGGATGTCGTTATCACACAGGTTGATATTTTTAAATTTATAAGAAGGCTTCTCTGAAGAATGTTGCCACGTGAAGGACATGATGTCAGTGTGTTTCTAGTTCTAGCACATCCCTCAGGCAAAATAAATAAAATATTCAGAACTAAAACCAAATACATTTTACATAACATAAAACACTCCTTTAATTACTCAATATCTGTAATGACTCTGTAATGAGTTTCACGTATTGATTCTGTCCCAACATCATATATATTACCTCCATACTAGATGCCATTTTCACTACTCATCATACACAGGAAGGAAAGAGTCTGTGAAAAATAACGATCTGTGCTTTGTGACCGTCATCAACGTCTAAATAACACAAAGAAATGCAACACATCAGTGTCCAATTAAACAGATAAAACATTCTTATCAAGCCTTCAGTCTCACCAGAGAGGGGGAAAATGGCCAAATACTCCAACATACAGAACTGCTCCCTTGCTCCCTTGATCAATTCACCAATATCCCAAGACACTTTTGGGCTAATCTCCTGGTGCAGTCTCATGGAGGCATTCTGAGCTGAAACACTGGCTTTCTGAGAACATGTGAACCTGTGGAGCAGCCATTTCAGAAAGTTCAGGACTTTCCATCAGAAAGTGGGAAGTAGAGACAACCATGTTTTCTCTGAGGACAGTTTAAGGTCTGGTAGCTGGTGTTAAACCTTTCTGGCCGTTTAAAATGAGCTTTTGGAAAATGTCTCCTAGACTCAGTTACAAAATGAAGAAAACATGTTAAGACAAATTTATATTATCATAGAACCTGACATCATCCCTTTCTCTATAACTGGTTTCACTGACCATGATTTTTTATATATTTTTCAGAGACTGTGCAGCCTAGCAACTAGTCGGGAAATCAGATCACAAAATCCATGACCAAATTAAGGTTCAGTGTCAATTAAGATGGCAACCAGACCACTGAAAACTCATTTTTTTAATCTTATGAACAGCTGCACCAACTGTAGTAGAAATGTGTCAATTTATTGTTTTTCATGAAACAAGCTAGCTACCCAGCATCAAAATCATGACCTGGTCATGATTCGGACTTAATTCAGACCCCTACAACTCATGTAAAGAAGTGCCTACTGTTCTCAGTCATAAATATACCCCCCCCAACACAGTTTCCACTAGTGTCCTCTGGTTTGTGCTTCACATTGGGTGATGGGATTGGTTGAATCAATTCCATTAAGGATTTTGAATACCTGAATCAGTCTTCTCCGTTTGAAACTAAGAACAACTCTTTCAGCCTGTCAGTGTGGGATATATCTGGAAATGCAGAAATTGATGTTTCTGGATTAACACCTAGGTCTTTCTCGCATTGTACACTTTTCAAGCTTTGCGTTTCCCTTTTATATTAACAGTGGATGTTGTTGTAACCTCCATGCAACATTCTGAAACTGCCTACATTAGAAAAGCCAAAACCTTTTCAAGATCTGACCTGATACAATAATATTTGTCATCAAATAAATAGCAAAAGCTCTCTGTCCTACTAACTTGAAACTTCACAGATGTACCAAAAGACCACCATTGTCTTGGGAACCATAGCACATATTGACCAAAAACTTGGGAGACCTGCTGTGGAACTGCATCCCATTGGCTGCAGCAGTACGTTATACTAAAACACCAGATCCTCACAGGCCCTGCAACACTAACTGCTCTTCTTCAAAAACAGTATATGTAATTAACTCAAAACTTGGTTCAAAAATCGGATCAAAGTTTATTTATCAAATGCACAACAATACGGCGTGCAGCAGTAGTTGCTGGCAATGAAATGTCTTTTTCTGCGAGCTCACAAAAATTACAAGAATCACAAACATTCACAAAAACACTAAAATCACAAAAATGGTTGGTATCATTCTAGTGCTGTACTTCCTTCCTTCATAAAACAGGCTAGTTTCTTGGTTACCATTTTGTTCTCTTGTTGAGATGTAACCTGTTATCATAAAATGCCAGGGTTTGGCCAGTTTAGTCCAGATTTGGTATTAAGCGTTTCAGTGGCAACACGATTAACAAGTATCAGAAATGGAATTCCATCTTAAACAAGATGGCTGCCTGATGACTAGGCTTCCTGGTCGAGATGAGATTCATACGAGACGTTATACTGATCGCAGGTTTCATCACACTAAAACCTGCTTCAGATTTGCCCCTCAAATGTGGCGACACTACACTGTTTACACCTACAACAGGTCGTCATCTACTACTTCAAAACATGCATCCTACCACTAACTGCCCATCTTCAAAAACTGTTTGACCAATGACACCAAATTTGGTAGGCGTCATTCTATTTCTCCCTTTACTTTACTTGTGGCTCACTATCACTGTTGAAGTAAATGAGCAAGGACTGCTTGGAAACCTTCAAAACTACATAATATTTTCTTTCCTTCTATATTTTGAAGTATGTCAGCCTCTGACACCTCCAGCTACTCAACAGCACCAGTAACAAGGCCACCTGGACCCCTGTGTGTCTTGTAAACAGCATAAACTTCAGCTCAAAGCACTTTATAAGTTTCCCGAAGGCTAAATGAATGCACCACAGGACCCAAGACCAGGAGGACGTCACTCTGACTCCCAGGTAATTATTAAGGCAAAACAACGGTTTAGAACTGAAAAACTGAAAGAGCTCTGGGATGCAGTGAGCTACCCCTGCCCCTGTATCACTTTAGGAATCTTAAGCACAAATTAAACTGTTTTTTCTACATATCACTTTTTATTAATTTATCCTTTGATCAAAACTCAAATCTAAATTCAAAACCTGCACTAATCACAAATTCCCACCACACTACCTGCACTAGAGACCACAGCGCAAAAAAAAAAAACTATATTTTGACATCTTGATTAATCCAAGGTAGAATTTTTAAAACTTGATTTCAAAATTCAAAGTTACCTGCCAGTTTCTTAAACAAGTTTGTGTGGTGCTTTTCCTGCATTATTTAATTTCTCTCAAGATTTGTATGCTTCCTTCCTTAGGACATTTGGTGTCACAGAAATAACTCAATTGCTTGTTGGCTTTTCACAATCTTGAAGAATGTATTTCATCACACAATAAACTATTTTATACATGTTGGAATGAAAATACTGAATGAAAAGTACATTTTATCACACCAGTATATGAATTTCTCCTCCATTCTATGTTTTCTTAGTCATTACAAATGGCAGCTCTCAACAAGTATATAACTTTAAAAAACACTGTTAGGGAAATGCAGTACCACGTGATCCATGGAATCATAAAGGTAGACGATATATTGTATTAAAATTTAGATGTGCTGTGGGATTATTTCTATGGTACTATGTAAAATACTCCCATTGTGAATATTAAAATAACTCGTTTTTAGTAATTTGAAGGAACAAGCATTCTCCTGATCATTTTACAAGAGCAATAAAGGGACAGTTAAGGATAACACTTTCATAACTGAGGATCAAAATCCTACATTGAATCATTGTAAAACATAAATATGTACAGTATATAGAGTATAAGAGGTCAAACAACTGTTTAAAGATACTAATTTAGTTCATGAGCATGTACTCTCTAAAAATGAGTTCATCGCACAAAAACTGCTTGTAGTTCTTAAAAATAAGAGTGCATATTTGGAGAAAATGACATTTGTGGATCATTTTGAAATACGCAGCATATGAATTGTTTACAGTAACATGTGTATTTAAAACAGCAGAAAGAGTAACAGAAAATGCATTACAGAAACTGTATGGTCATTGCATTCACTGATATACATAGTCGAACGTACAGTATACTGACACTGAGGTGCAGATCATTTACAGAAATCTGTCTCCTACTTTGATTGCACACTTTCATAAATCTTAAAATTATGACAGAGCTTGTACTGTAGCTCCATGACAGACATTTTCTGAAGTCTGCAACAGTACCTGCCACTTTTAATTTGTTTTCTCACAACACATATTTTACAAATATCTGAGCTAAACAATAACAAAACTGCTTTGAAAACCAAAGTAAACATCTTTGGTTAGGATACTAGTTTCACTAGCATAAATGAAAATGAAGTAATGTCAGGATTATTTTTTAAAGTACATATAAAATAAAAAAGGAAACAACATGAAGGAAAAACAAATCATTTGATGTTGATAAATGAACCGTAGGTTTTACTTACTTAGGTACAGAAAATGGAAATATCTGAAAGATGAAGATGAATCTGTCACTCAGTCTTTGTCATGTGATGATGACCTATAAAAAATACAAAACACTGAATCTTCAGTCAGAGATCATTTTAGATTTCAATTACAGGACGAGCCCCAGAACAATGTCATATTCGTGACTTTGAATGATATGAGCAAGATTAACCTTCCGTCTCAACAATTATTCTCCGACATGAACTTTCTAACACGGAGAAGCCGTACAATACTGTACGTGCATTAGTCAGATAGTGCCCAAACTATGGTGTTGTATTATTCTGCGTACTTCCAGCGTCAAGTTGACAAATGTTACAGCTACAGCGCCATCCATAACATTTAAAAAAAACAAAATTCCGAAACTTTGTATCTAGCGATCGCCAAGTGGCGTGTAAATAAGAGCACAAAAATATCATCACAAGTACAGTACGCCCGAGTGGATGTACAGTACAGTAATTGCAACGTTGTAGCAGTTTTCAGGTAAGACCGGACTGGTGCTGTAGCTGCAAACCGTAGGCGCCGCTTTTCTCGGCGCTGAGAAGTGGAAAAATTACAGGAATACGTCTGAAAATGACTGTCCCGATTCCAACATCGACCTTCGACGAATGCTAATTTTGCTGATCTGCCCTAATTATCTGTTACAGAGCAAAGCTCAAGTTTGCATCTCGGTGCAAAATGTCGATCTGGGGTCTGACGAGACAGACAAGCGAAAGAGAGTCCATCTTGCTTTGGGGAAAACGAAGCGCAAATCTCACTCCTGTCAAACTCCGCAAAATGCATTCATTAAGAAAGATTTCCCTGTTGACGATACGACCCCTTTCATTACTTAAACTGACGTTTATAAGTCTCGATATTTGTGAAAATCTCCTAATTTGGCCTGATCTCTGCCTCTGATCTATTAGATGAAATAAAAGTACCCTGATGCGAGTTGCTGTACTGAACGTGTCATTAGCAGAACATGCAATGGTTTCAAAAGCCACTTTATAGCCGACATCACCTCACTTTTCCTCCCCAAACTTTTACAAATCACACCATCCGTGACTAGCCGAGGCTTCTTTCAGATTATTTGCTTTAAAAAACAATAAGATCTTCGATGAGGGGAAGTGATCATACCGTTTCTCAAAGAGGAAAGCAAACAGCTTCTCTCTCGCTCGCTTGACTATGTCGTACATATTGTCTCTAGCTTTTGCATCGTCTTTTACCGAACACTAACTAAAGATGTGAGCCGAACACGACACAGGAGCAAACATATTCCGTTCTAACGTGATTTAAGCAGATTGATCGCAATTCTGGGCAAGCGATAATTTACGAAAAACGAAGTCACCACGCTCTTCCCTGCTGCCAGCTCGTAGCAATAATAAGCTGGTACAATTTTTGCTCTGGATGACTGAGTGCTCTCGACAAAAAGGCACTCAGATCTTATTGTGGGATAAAATAGCTGCAAGTTTTCTGTCATGACGGTCGTCAAATATGAAAACTTACCTCCGAGACCCGACTCAAATACCAAGGCCTCAGCATTCCAGCCTCCGTCCACCTTTAAACTTATTGACACATCATAACAGTTCTGCCCTGGTACTAGTACAACAACACGAATACAACCTCACTGACTCTGAACACTTTTCTTTTCGCTGGATTTGAATGCTGCCTTCCGCATCAGGCGCAATATTGCACTCCCAAGTCTCCAAAACTAACTAAAACGTTGCATTGTCTACCGAAATAAGGCACTTGTTCAGATGAAATTGTGTTGCGGCACTTTCGTTTTCCTCGAACAATTTTCTGGGGTTGTTTTTTCCTGCCTCCCCCGATCGCCCAAATGTTTCTCGCTCTCTTTGGTCGTGTGTAGTACTGTATTGTGGATGTTCCTAGCCTGGTACTGACTGGCCTAGCCGTGTTAACATAATCATTCACATTCTGGCCTTTAGTGTGCACATCTCTTGTGGAAACTTTTTTTCATGCATTTTTTTTTTTACAGTGACTGAGGAAGTATCAGCGAGGAAAGCGAGAAAAGGATGATTGCGTCTGGCCAGAGAGCCACTGTATCTCGCACAGACCTGACTGTGTTTGTCGTGTATGACTACTAAGTATCTTTGGCTTCCTGGGTGTTGTGTTTGTAAGGGATTGGAGAAGAGGGGAAAGTGTTTGGAAAATGAAGTGGAGCCGTGTAAGTGTAATAGTACTTACCCCGCGAGAGGCCGACCGGTTAAATTATGAGAAAGTAAAGAGTGGTGCTCCGAGGAGCCGTTGTCCCCCTCTCTCTCTCACCCTCTCCCAGTGTGTTTCTCTGAACAGTTTTTTTTGCAACATACTGTACTGTACATGCACTGACTGAAAATATATTATTTTTTCATGTAAGGCTGCCTGTGATTGGACGGCAGCCTGAGAGACAGCCCGAATCAGCCACACAGCGGGCCCATAACAATGGAGCAGCGTTGAAAGACTGAGAGATTAATATAACATCTTCATAATGTTCTGGACATGTACACTGCACAACACACCAGGTAGTGGGGGGAAGTGGTTGCGAAATGTCCACCGAACTAATTAGAAGCACAAGAACAATGTCATGGAGGCGGCATCGTCCGTACACCTCCTGTGTTGCACGACGCACAACAAACCCGAAGCTTAACTAAAGAAAAAAAAAAAGCCAGCGGTCACATATACCAATGGCTTTCGTTTTGTGTGGAAAGCTCAGGTTAAGTAATATCTAGTAAGCGGCCCCGTGTTGTGTTGAAAGATGAAAATGTACGCGAAGGCTGCACATTTAAGAAATGTATGACTGTTACATTATCTGCCGTACAAATCTGGGAGTGCAGAATGCGTCTTAGGAGTTCATTTTGCACCGTTCTCTTGCACGTTTTTTCTATTCCTTCTGACCTTATGACGTGTTAGAAGCTTAATATATTCTTCCGATGAGCTATTGTTTCTTTCGATAAAAATAACTGTAAATGCGCCAGCCGCTACAATTGCAATGTTACTTAATTGGAAACGTTTTAGAGTGTGGGTTTTGGATATAACGTTGTATATTCTCATCCTTAGGCTGTAAAAGTACTTTCTGACAGTTCAACTTTACAGGTTATCAAAAAATAAAGCCCCGGCTGTGATCAGGAAATGACTTAGTGTTGTTGAATGAAATCCATGCCCTGCAAACGTATTCGACCGGACATGCAGTTTATAATGAAGACTTTGAAAACTATTCAGAATAATATATTTATTTCAATGATGTATATTAAATCTGAGAGCCATGCAGTAAATGTGATGTTGTAGCACGATTGACCAGCTTCCTGAATTCAGGACTGTGCCTGGAAGTGTAAATGAACTTTTTCACAGGCCAGGTTATCTTGATCTCACTAAGAGTTATGTTTCGTTGTAGCTTTTTATCCTGCTTTGTAACAGAAATTAATTCATACTTTCATTTAATCATCATACAGAAAGATTTCCTTTAGCAACTCTTTATCACCAGGATCATTTTCTGGTGTATCCATCTTCTTTTTCTGGAGCTTTTATTAGCTGTCTTTAATTTTAAAAGCTTTAAGAGCCAAGCAACTCAGTGCTGCACCACTCAAAAATCAAGGCTCTAATTCACAAATGTCAGAAGAAGAGAGTATGTGTCAATATTAACACCTCATGAACCATAGTACAGCATATGAGACAAAAAGCAGGTATCAGTTAAGGTGCTTGGAGTTCATTGTAAAGGCTATACAGTAAATTTAAAGGCAAAAGGAAAACTATTGTTTTATTTATTGAGTCTGATAGAACCCACTGTGTGCACCATTACAATTGGTTATAGAATAGACTATAGAATAGACTACACAGTGTCTACATAGTGTACTTTATTTTGTCTTTTAATTTGTCTTTTATTTAGGGCAGTGCACAAGTGCAAAACCTTTTCCCCTCTTGCAAATAGTGAAAGGTCATCACAAATTTTTCAAGGAGTTAAAGTGTGTTTTTATATTTACAGTAATACAAAATGACAACCGTTAATGTACATCAAAGTGCTCCCTATGGTTATTTAGCTGTTAAATAAAGATATAATCCATCCTACCAGGACAAGAGGATTGAAAGTGGATATTTGGATGGCAATAATCCAGAACTTCAGTATTTACATGACAGCAAATACTCTTATTATGAAGCACAATGTTTTCTCCAGACAATTTTTTCTTTTTATCTGACTTGAGAAGCTTATGTGTTTCACAAAACACATACAGTATGTAGCCGGAAATACTGTACTATAATGCATTTAATTTCTGGTTATAAAGTGTGTTAAAATGTGCATGCTGTTGTACAGTCATACAAAAGGGACCCCTAACGTGTTTTAAAATACAATCTATAGTATATATGATACACAGTATTTATTTTTGAGGTGAATATTTTATCTAACAAATCAACAGTCACCACATTTTCATTTCTTCTGTTGAGGTAGACTATTTCGACAGACACAAAAAAATGTTCTACCCTTGGTGAACAGCTTCTTGCATTTCTGTCCTGTTTAATGTGCATAAAACAAGACTTGTTTAATAAAGTTCTGCATTTTGGAATATTCTGAGGTTTTGGAATGTATATAATGAATGCAGTATTTTAGTGCAGATACCAGATTTTGTTGATAGCAGATTTCAATGTTTCAGCATGGTACGTATATTTTGCTACTGGTAGAAAAATGGCAAAAGCCATTCTCAGGATGGCAAAAGCTGATATTATAGCAGAGCCAGTGCAAAGCAATCGCATTTGAAGCCTGTGAATAGAGCAAGCCATTCTAAACACTGCAGGAGCATTTGTTTGCCTGAGATGAGATCCTCTGGTGATATTAATTCAGGCTCACAATTTTCGACTGTAAATGAGGACGATGCATCTGACAAAAAAGGAGAGATACAACAGCATATTTCAAGATCAGCAGCAACACAAAGGCCCGCTGACACCTGTGGAAATAACATTTAGGTAAATTTAAAATCCAAAAACAGAACAGTAGAGAACATAAAGATACCAACTGAGAGGAGTCCTCCATTCAGCTTATTTAGTGCCTTCATTCGGAAATAATTTAGATCCCTTTTAAGATGACCAAGGAACAGGCAAAGTTCATAGAACATTAAGCTACTAGCACCCAAACAAACAGGATGGACCGATTGGTGTCCAGTCTTCTGTACCCTTTATGTAATTGTGTTCTTATCCAACATGGGAACATGGTGATTGGTCCCTAAAGGGCTGAGATTGCCTATCTTCCAGTGGTACTGGATAATTAATACAACTAGAAGGTATCCTAAACAAGGAAAAATACTGACAGATTCTCCAGCTCCATGCTATGCCATCTGGAAAATGATTAATAAGTCAAGGCTTCAGTTTTCATCACTGCTATGATCTGAAACGCTCTGCCAGGATAGTGTAAAGTGAACAAAGACCTGCTTGGCTAACCAAGAGCACAAACTGGAGATTGTAAATGAGCGCTGTGGACTCTGCAGACTCCACGGTCTCCAATTCTCAAAGCAACCTACATGGAAATCGAACTACGTGGACTGAGCAGGAAGGCCTAGACACTGAGGAGAACCTTGTCCTTCAGGATGCTGGAAAACTGGAAAACTGCAACATCTCCCATTGACAAAATACATTAACAGCCTTAAGGACAGTGTGCTGGTAGATACAAGAACCACAGGATAGATATAAACGTACACGAATCTCAGAATGTATGTGGTAGGAATGTAGGACTTAGTGAAACCTTTGACCATTAGCATTTGTCTTTTTCTCACTGCGTAATACAGAACTACTTTTGCTTTGCGGTCAAGCAATTTGTGACCACGATGTTAATAAATATTTAATATGATAAATAAGTCAAATATTATTTATTATTATTTGGGGGCAATTTCCATCATACATTTGATCATTTGAAAACAAAAATAGGCTTTGCATTTAACTCAGTGGCAACTCTGGGATCAGAAGTATTGGGACAGTCACATTTCAGAGTGTGTAGCATACCCCTTCAATGTAATAACTGCATGAAATCTGGGCCCCAGTGATCTCACCTGATTTCATGTGTAATAACTAGATGTGCTCTGTCCAGCCTTTGACGCAGCCACTGTGTGTTCCTGTTTATTCCTGGGGTGTTCTCATTTCAGTTCTCTTCTTCAGTGTGTAAGATTTATGCTCAATTGGATTAATATTTAGAGATTGACTTGGCCAGTCCAAGATTTTCCATTTTTATCTCCCGATGAACTGCATTAGCTGTATGTTTTGGGTCAATATTGTGCTTCCCTATCGTTTGGGTCATATCACCGGCTGTATGTTTTGGGTCAATATCAATATCATGCTGTCAGATGCACTTTCCTCTACATAGGCAGACAAAATCTTTCTGTAAACCTCAGAGCTCATTGGGCTCCACCCGGCCCTCCATTTTTTCACAGACGAGGTGGTATAAGGGGTATCTGCAATTCCTTTTTTCTCCACATTTAAACCTTTCCATCACACTGTTCCTTTGGTGAAGGTTTAAATCTCGGTCTCCTCCGTCCATAACATTTTTTTTTCAAAACTCACCGTCTTATCTTTATTGTTCTGAACAAATTCTATTCTGGCTTTTCTTTTCTCAGGGCAGATGAGAGTAATACACCTTGTAGCATAGCCTTTGTAAGTCTGTGTCTCAGTGTTCTCTGAACTGTGGATGCTTGCTTGATACTTTCACTCTGTAGGTTGTGGATGATTTTACTGACACTTATTTCAAGGTTTTCCTTGACAGATCTGACATTTATTATCATCAAATGCACGTGTTTCATTGCCAACCCATTCTTGGTTATTTAGCAATTGTACACAATTGTTTTCTCCAATATTTTGCTGATTTTGGTATTCTGTGTTTCAGAACCTTTTTTCCCTACCTTTTCTTTCACAGAAAGTTTTTTGGTTTGGTCACTGGCCTCAAAACAATGAAGACAAAGTGAGGAAGGTTGAAAGGATTTTCACACCTCTTGTATTAACCTAAGTACCTAACAACAAATGCCTGACCAGCGAGAGACACTCAGCCAGTACGACTGTCAGACAGTTGTACTACTATATTTGCTCTTTTTAAATTAAGAAAAATGTTTGTTTCATTGACCAAGTTGACATGATTAAAAATAAAATACTTGGGATTGATGTACTCAATCATGTTTTTTCATGAGAAATGACACAATTCATACTGATCTTTAGTGGAAATCATAGTAATGTTTTCAGTTTACACAACACGGTCCCAATACTTTTGAACCTCACTGTGGCTAAATTCTGGATTACTGCATTTTTTTTTGTTTTTCCAAATACACTTTTCAAAGGAATTGCACCTCTACAGAA